TAATATCATCTTCAAACTGTTAGAAGAATGTGTGAGAGAGAAGTTAACGACAATAAAGAAATCTGATTTGTAATCTGTCAGAAATTAACAATTAATATAACAGTTTTATCTGTCACCTTATTGGTGATAGTGCGACGGATGAAACTTTTTATTCTCACGTGGGGACAGATCGGGGTAACGTATGGGAATAATCCGAGGATAGTCTGGAAAAACATAGGCTACTCACTTTTGTTATTTTTAATTCCTCGCAAACGGAGTCGCAGGCAAAAGCTAGCAATGCTATGAAAGAACATGAATATATAAATTGAAAGAGCTGCAGGAGTGACCTTGTGCGCGATGCCGAGGAAGCTCCTGCAGATGGAGGTCTTGCCGGCGGCGCGCGGCCCGATCACGTGGCACTGGTACACGCTGCGGCTCGACTGCTTCTTCGCCACGTCCACCTTCTTGTCGCGCGTTACTGCGCACACAAACATACCTCACACTATATCTATACTAATATAATGCGAAGATAGATAGATGTTTGTTAAAGTTAATATTCCTAAACGGCTGAACGAATTTCGATAAATTCTGAAAAAACACAGCCTACTCACTTTTGTTTTTTAATTACAGGCGGACGGAATCGCGGGTCAAAGCTACTATGTTCAATATAATCAATTTTACTGAGAATTGCGGCTGTTAAGAAACCAAAATTTATTTATCAGAATAAAATCCTGTCCTTCACAGTTATGTATATTTTTATGTATTGCTTATTGATAAATGTTACTTTCCAACTGGATTGTTAGATTTAAGGTGTCATTGAACTTGTATTTCATTAGGAAATAATAAGAATTTAATCTAAAACATTGTCACTTACAGTACAATAAACAGGCATTATAAGTTAGTTAAAAGTATGTTAACAAATAAATATTATATTCTCTGTTTTTTTTGTACTTAACATATTTGATTCAGCAGTACTTACTATGTATAGCAGTTTTTTGTGACTCATTTTCAAGGAAATTGTAACCAAGGTATGCTAAATAGGCGCTCGTGTTTTGCAAGTCTAATAAAGTCATTAGAGTCCATCGACACATCCAACCTTGCAATGTTAAAAAACCCTAAAAAAGTAAAAATTATTTATACAAATGTGTCAGGTTCATGTAGCCATCAATTTTGTCTGTCAATGCTGAGAAATAACAGAAGTGATGATTATCTTAGTAATATTATAAATGCGAAAGTTTTTATGGATGGATGCATGTTTGTTAGAAGGTATGTCCTAAACGGCTGAATAAAATTTAAGGCACATATATGTAGAATGTAGTCTGGATACATAGGCTACTGATTAATTTCATTTTAATTTCGCGCGATCAGAGACGCAGGGGAAAGCTAGTTAATGTAATAAATAAATATGTAACCTTGTCATTAGTAGGGACAGTGTATCGTAAATTGTGCCATGGTACCCGCGGACAGCAAGAGAATACATTCTTCAGTTCCGTTGGATTGAGCATTCCATCCTTGTCCCTGTCATACTTCTCAAATAACTGTGTCAGAAACTGTTGACCCTTGTATGACAACT